GCTTACTACCACTTACGTGCTGTGTTCATGTACCTTAAATATGAAATGTCTCTGCCAAGGTCACACTAATATGGTAGTTCTTTTTCTCAAACATACAGGTAAACATTTTATACTATTGCAACTACTAGAAAGTTTTGTGTGCGTGTGCAAGATGTTTTCTTTATTTTACTGATATGTACTTCAGATGGGTGGATTGAAGGATGGATGCATTGCTATTTGAAAGTGTAAATGGACTTAATGTARACTAATGATGCAATTAGAGAGAAAAATGGAAACAAGACGTCTCAATTTTACTGAATGTTAGAATAATGGACAGATGGAAAGCAGAAGAGRTAAAATATCAATGCTACAAGGAAGGATGTACTTGAAGCCACAATGAGGGATGGAGAGTTTCCAGACATCATTATGTCGTGGATCCTGCTSTGCTGGATGTAATCAACTTTATCCTCATAAAGAAGTGGGAGTTTCTTGGCAGTTTAAAAAATTCCCCGTCTTGTCGATCAGTCTGGATTCCAGGAAACAAGTGAATGTGCAAGTGGCAGGAAATGTAATTATTGTATTTTTATCAGCAAACAGAAAAAAATAAACAAATGCAAGAGCATTTTCCAATATAAATAAAAAGAGTTCACAGCAAACAGGCTAGTTTTTATGTTGAACAAGAGAAGGCTCAGCCTGCTGCACAAAATGTATCTCAGTCTTCAGTGTGGGCTTTTGGACATAGTAATTTGTGAACATAGTATTGTTGCTCCTAAAGGAAGGTGCCATTTCCTGGATACATTAAGCACTGAAGTGTTCACTGGTGCAGAGGAATGCTRTTAATGAGGTCAGTTATATCGAGAWACAGTATGTTCAAATAGGAGACACATTATATCTGTCTAATCCTGAGAGAGGCTCAAATGATGTCGTGTGTCAGGAAAAAGATAGATGATAGATCCCAGAGGAACTCCACAGGAAGAAGGAACCACATGATTAGTTTGATTTAACTGAAGGGCAAATGTACTGTGAACTCTGCTGACACTTCATTGGTATATGAACGGAGAGACAATTTGTTTTTGTTACTACTTACAAAAAGAAGTATTTTGTTTTGTCTTACTGTCACAATGGGAGGATTTTCTTCAAAACAGACTTATCTGTGTTGTGTTTGGTTGAAATCCTGTAAGTTGATTTTATTTGGCTCAACATCATGAATGGAACCTGTTCGGAGTGTATTTATCTTGAAATTTGACCACAAGAAAAAATAACACCAGAAGAGTATTTTTCCGCTTATCAGATGTTTTTGGCAAAGAAAAATACTCAAAAAAGTATTTGAGGTCTTTTCTAATTCCCCTTTTTTTACTCTTTGAACATCAAATCAGATCACCATAAGCACATTCCATTGTTTTATTCAATTTGTATTGCCTTGTTTAGTTAAATGTATCATTTTAACGCTATAAAATATAATGTGAATTATTTTTCAATGAGTTTACTGGCCACTTTATTTGGTACACCTTGCTAGTACCTGGTTGGACACACTTTTGCCTCCAGAACTGCCTTAATCCTTTGTGGTATATATTCAACAAGGTACACGAAACATTCATCAGAGAGTCTGGTCCATATTGACATGATGGCATCACACAGTTGCTGCAGATTTGTCGGCTGCACATCCATGATGCAAAACTCCCGTTCCACCACATCCCAAAGATGCTCTATTGGATTGAGATCTGGTGACTGTGGAGCCATTCCAGTACAGTGAACTCATTGTGGTGTTCAAGAAACCAGTCAGATGATTCACGCTTTATGACATGGAGCGTTATCCTGCTGGAAGTAGCCATCAGAAGATGGTACA